CCCTGACCTAAATGACCTTTGACCTGTGACCTCTTTTCCGAAACCATGTTTGGCCGGAATCGCGATTCCGCGTATGTCGGCTCGCATTAGCCGCGCGTTTGCAAGCTTTTCGTGGTTTCAAACGTTCAAACATGTGATTTGATGTTGCTCCCATGCATTAGGGTGGATGTCAAGGTCACCTGAAGGTCAGGTCAGGTCATTGACCTTTGGTGACCTCGGATGACCTCGGTTCTCTTTTTCGAGTTTTACATGTTTCTAGGATAGTTTTTGGAGCTGAATTCGAATTTAGCAACCATTTGAACATTTACGAAGTAGTTTTAGTGCCTTCGTAACATGTTACGAAGCTGTCAGAGGCGGTTGACACGTACTACGAATACCCGTCACGACGCCTACTGGTTGATCTGACCTGACCTGACCCGACCTGGTCTAAATGCTTAAAGACATCATCTGTGATCAAAACTAACACGATATTCGTGATCAGCACCCCGAAAAACCCCTTAGCAGCCACACTTTACGACTTTCTAATACAGTGGTCGGCAGGTCCTCCGGGGTCGTGCCCCCTTTTTTGGCGCCAGCTAGCGCCATTACCCCCACCTGCCAGACCCCATTGGTGATATAACCATGGTTACTAAAATTCCATACTTTTCCGCGACTCTTTGGGTACCATATCTGCGAGAAACCACAGGCTCGCCCCCCCCCCTGCGGTTTCTCGCAAATATCTAAAAAAAAAAGTTGAGCGCCACCATTTTGTCACATTTTGTCATGCATTTTGTCTGCACATGTTGTGAAAATTTCAGACCAAAGTCGCTCAAAGTCAGGTCACCAGATCACGTCAAGTGACCTCACCTCAGTAAAGACTGTAACGCCTGTTGTAGCTACACAGAGTAACAGATCTCTTTCAAACTTTCAGGAATTGACAAAGGCAACAAAACATGTACAAAATTTGTATCTCGGATATTTGATGTAGGTGACCAAAGGTCAGCTCACTTTCACGCCCTCTCTCGTTATCAATGAGAGAGGTCGCAAAGTCAATGGTAGAAATTGAAAGACGCCTCTTTTGGATGAGTGTCATTCCTAGCACTGTGAAGCACTGAATCACAAGTAAACATGACCACTGAGCCGGAAAACTGCACCCGTAACCCCGCTGTATGTCCCTGAGGTCATTTCAGGTCGTGAACGGTATCTAATAGTTTTTCGCCAATAACTTTTGATAAAGGCATGCCAGAGCGATGAAAATACCTTAGATGTGTATAGCTCGACGACACGGATCACCTGATGTGCAACAAGACCTTCGATGCTTCTCGACGGGGGGAGCACGATGCTGATAAAAGTGAGCTCTTGCAAGTTCTGAGTGAAACGCTACTGAAGAAAAACTATCAGCAAACAACGTACATTTTATCAGCAAACAACGTACATTTTAGCCTTTTTTGTCTCCGCAGGCTAAATCGTTATTCTTAGGTTAAATCTGAGGGCGTCATTCAGAAAAAAAAACGTTAAGAGAGCTATCGAATGCGTTTTTCCGCAGCTCTGTAGCTCTATCCTTTCCTGAGCTATAGGCCAGTTTGTCGAAAATTGTCAAAGGTTGACCTGGAAATTGGCGAAATTTTACGTTCGATGACCTATGGTGAGCTGACTTTTGACTTGACCTAAAAAGTGGCCATAGTTTTCCTCCATCATGTCTTACTCTCTTTCGAACGCCGACTACGGCGGTTCGCTAGTGACCCAGGAGCCAAATTAGTAGGGGGGGAGGGGGTTCAACTTCCACCTCCAGCAGGGCGTGGATACCCAGGAGCCCCATCAGGGCGCGGGTTAACCCCCATACGAATAGGGGTAGCGTGTATTTTTCGGGAATAGATCACGTTAAAAGGGTCGGATCATAAAAACTGTACCCTCGAGCCGATCATTTTTATCTGTCCTGAAAATGGCATGACCTTAACCCGAATAACCGTTGATTTGTGAGATCTTTCTTGAGATCATGGCAGTCCACAAAATCTCACTTCAAGAAGCTACAGCAAGAGCCGATTTACTCGGGACTTGTCATTGACCTCTGGAAGGTCACCAAATGACCAAGGACCTTTAAATTGGGTAGTAGCGGCTGCCTATCTTCACGGGCAGCACGCTCAATTTTTCTGCAAAGCTCCAGCTCAGAGGCCGAGATGCACGGGTCAGGGTGCAATGGACAACTCCTCTCCCTTGCTTTAGTGACTGTGAAAACGCCAACAGGCGAGCGCCGGCTAATACATGACAGTTACTTTCCACGGCTGTACGGAATGGTGAGCAGCTATGTACATGAAAATTGGCATGCGATCAGTTCATGCTTTGTGCGTTTGCCCTCGACTAATTTTTGAATCCTGGGGCACAACAGTTGCGATGTCTGTCCCATCAAGGGAGCCATTAATTCTAAAAAAAAGATGAGGCTTTCTCAGAGGCCCTCATTACCCCCCGCCGAAGGGCGCCATTACCCCCAAAGGGGGCATGCCCCACCATTTGCCGACCCCTGTTCTAATAGGTCCCGATTTTCCCGACTTAGGGTCATTGACCTGACCTGGAAGGTCAACCAATGACCTAGGACCTTAAAATTGGGTATCATCGGCATCCTCTTGTCACGGGCAACACGCTCCTTTTTTTCCCGCGAAGCTCTAGCTCGATCAGGGGCCAAACGGCAAGAGAGGGGTCCAACCGACCCCCCCCCCCTACACATTAGAAGCTGGCAAACGCCGCACACATGCGAGGGTTAACCACGCATACAGGGGTGAACTGCCATTTTCGTTTAGCATCGTGTCAGGGCTGTGACGAAAAATAAGTGGTCTAAATCCGATGAGAAAACAGGATTTGGGGGTACCCTAGGTTTGGCTCCTTGAGCTGGTGCCTTCCTTGTCTCAGACTCTCAAATCGTTCCGCCGCCTATGGTTTCTTTCTATACCTAATGTAGTTCCAGAATCCAGCGTGGTTTGTCCATCAACAACTGTCGCCTTATATAACATCGCTCCGTAACAAACACATGACACAAAACAAAATCTGAAGTCTGTATTGCCCGAAGGTAGGTACCATGGTGACATCATCAGTAAACGGTATACGTCGCATGTTCAGTTAACAGCGGTGATAGCGTTTCCATCTTAGCAAATTGTTCTGAACTTAATCACCTACATAGAAAGGAGCGTGCCAATTCGAAAGTTGAACATCGACGCATTGCCTTATTGAGACCCTTAGCCGTGTCATGGCACAGTTGATGTCCTTTCTTCATAGATATATTTACAAAACATGATTCAAATCGCATCAAGATTATCGACAAACTTACTTCAGATACAACCATCTCACTTATGCGCCTCAATGTGAAGGGAGGGAAACGTAGCGGAATCGAGATCGCAAAAGCGCAAAAAAACAGCTATGTAAACAATATGAAAAGGAGTCGATGCTAAAAAGGATTAGTGAGATAAGGCTAGATTCGTTTTCATAGATTGACCCCGCTACAGCCCACAATTGCAGCAATGGCAAAGCAAAGATTGCAAAATCAAATGGAGCGGACATAATCATTTCATAAAGGTCACACATAGGTTATAGGTATCTAACCTACGTAGGTTTGTCCGCAGTGCATGAACTTGACTAGATAAGAAAACAATATCGGTACATCGGTTAATGGCGTTCGATCGAGTATAATATTTACAGCCACCGTCTTACACTTCCTGTAGATACATCTTCGATTATTATTTGGACGCAACCGAGAAGCAATCGAGAGATGTTATCAGGTGTTGCTCTCTCAGAAATCTTAGGTATATTGCAGCAAAGAATTATTACGCTCCTTTGTGTTATGTTTACAAAGTGACCTCCAAGCCTCCGAACTAAATTGTTTTAGGCGACATAAATATTACCTATCGCGCAGCGCAGTGAAACAAAGGGGTATACACGCAATAACAAAATATGTTTGATTGAGGTGGATACGACATTCCGTGATCCGTTTCTACTGAAAGAATGAGATCACTTTGGATTCATATTTCTATAGGTGCTATTACTGGTCCGGATTAGTTATTTGGGTCTCTCTCTCTCTCTCTCTCTCTCTCTCTCTCTCTCTCTCTCTCTCTCTCTCTCTCTCTCTCTCTCTCTCTCTCTCTCCTCTCCTCTCTCCCTCTCTCCCTCTCTCTCTCTCTCTCTCTCTCTCTCTCTCTCTCTCTCTCTCTCTCTCTCTCTCTCTCTCTCTCTCGATACACAGTTATAGACAATTGACTCCCCTCTCTTAGCACTGGCCGAAATCTCATGAAGATTCTTCTCAAGACAAACATAACAAGTTTATTGACGCCAAGTGACTCGTATGGCGTCAGATCATACGAGTCTGCACTTGGCTCATACGAGGCCATTGTATCGAAGAACATAGACATCAAAGAAGCAATAATTAAAATGGATATGACGTTCAGTTCTTAATTTATCTTAGGTACACATATAAATATACGCAATACATGCTATAGTGGCTGCTGCTAACCACTATAATTTGGTGTGAGTTTTATGTCAGTGTAAGCGCGATGGATAATGGACTAGGCTTTATGAGATCATCTGACGGCAACCACTGGTTTGTACTTGACACACCTTGGTGAGCCGACGCAACTCATCGTTTCCTGATGTGCCCGATTCGTTTTTGGCTGCTCGTTTTGATTCCGGGCTCCTCGTGCCCCTTCCCAGAAATGACCCTTGAAGCACACATAGGGCCCTAGGATCCTTCGTGAGATCAGACAGCTTAGGTACACAAACTGCCTTGAGATCAATAGCTTGAATGCACTTTTTCAACACATGATAAGCACTTTACTAAAAACGTCCACATATAGTATTGTCAGGTCTAGGTGCCGGTAGCAAACAACATAAAAGGCTACCAGGTCTCTCTCTCTCTCTCTCTCTCTCTCTCTCTCTCTCTCTCTCTCTCTCTCTCTCTCTCTCTCTCTCTCTCTCTCTCTCTCTCTCTCTCTCTCTCTCTCTCTCTCTCTCCCTCTCTCCCTCTCTCTCTCTCTCTCTCCCTCTCTCCCTCCCTCCCTCCCTCCCTCTCTCTCTCTCTCTCTCTCTCTCTCTCTCTCTCTCTCTCTCTCTCTCTCTCTCTCTCTCTCTTTCTCCAAAGCCTTACACAGCTCACTAGCAAAGCGTGCCTATCCTACTAAGTTCGTGCACCATAAGAAACACAAACGTCGCCTTGCGACTGAATATCCAATGGCATCACTGATGACGTCATAAGCGTTCCACCGATTAGCGATGTCATCTGAAGTCCAACTTCAACCGAGACCATCGCACCTACTGCATGTGACACACTCCACTCTCGCCGCGTTTTCTCGTGATGCCGTTTCCACGCCTCGACCCCGTCCCGTTGGTGGTTTTGCTCTTGTGTGCCGGCGGTGTTGGGCACGGGTCGAACGGCGTACACACGAAGTAGGTCTCCATCAGTCCCTTGCCTTTGATCTCCACCGGGCCGCGAGGCTCGAGCTGGAACTGCTGGGATTTCTCCTCTGATTCCAGTCGCCTGGAATAGGGGAGGAGTGGGAGACTGTTAGAGGATCACCTGCTAGAACCAGCGCTTGGAATCCTATCTTCAGGCACTCGTTGAGTGCCTGGAGAATAAACCATTCGCTGGAGAATTAGCCCGGCATTGTGGTTCACGTTTACACTTCCCTCTAAAAACCTATTTTGATTTTCTTTGACCGGAACGCATATCATAAGAAAGTGTTCCGACCCGAAGCGACTTCTAGTGGAGTGTCGGCTTCGTCGAAAGCGACTTGATAAGTTATACAAACGACACAAATTAACGAAACTGCAGAACACCTACCTACCCCTTATCTACACAACTCATTAATTATAAACCCGGCACTGAAGTTCAGGAATTCTGCCTATGTATATGTACATGGCAGAATTCCTACATACTATGTATGTAGGTATATTGGCACCACGTAGCTACTCAAGATAACCGTGCACTCTACGCCTGCCACCGATTCTCTCACCATACACTGACCCCACTCGGTGTTCATTTACCGTTTGCAGGCGCCGCTGATGTGGATCCTGCCGGGCACTCCGTGCGACTCCATTCGACTCGCCACGTTCACTGTGTCGCCGAACAGACAATAGCGGGGCATCTTCTGGCCGACCACCCCCGCCACGCTGGGACCTGTGTGTACGCCCACGCGAATCTGAGGAGAACGGAGAAAAGTCAGTTAGATTACACATGGTAATCCACAAAGAACCCCTGCAGAGAGGTCAAAGGAAACGTGTAAAAAAAAAAGACTGGCCCCAGAAGACAGGGAAAATAAGCGTGAACACATTTGCACATATTTTGTAGACTTGTTTTCTTGCATTTTCCCAAATTGCTCATTTTAGTGTAATGCTGTAGTTATTCTTGTATCTGCAAACAAGTCAAGCTATTATAAGGTCCACCGACTAATGCACCAGTATAGCGCCTTTTGGGGCGACTAACGGAGCGAGCAAGGGGGTGAGCCTTGCACGTGCGGAATTTCGAGGGGGTACCTCCAACTGACTTGTGCACGGCACCCTACTGACCGGTTTCTAGCGATGTGCCAAATTTGAGCACAATCGGCCCAGCCGTTCTCGAGATCTGGAAGCGGCACCCTGCACGTGCGCACGTGCAAAATGGGTCCCAACTGACTTGTGCACGGCACCCTACTAACCGGTCCCTAACTGTGTACCAAATTTGAGCGCAATCGGTCGAGCCGTTCTCGAGATCTGGAAACGACCCCTGCACGTGCGCACGTGCAGCAGCACCCCAACTCTGGCACATGGATATGCAGTGCCTAGTGGGTGCCTACCTACATGCCAACTTTCAGCGCAATCGGCCAAGTAGTTACCGAGATATTGCAACAATTACAAAACTGACACCTCTTCGTTTTGCACGTGGCACGTGCATAAGGGGTCACCCACATGCATCGGGAATAGTCCAATACTTGGTAGAAGGAATGAAGCTACCCTACAAAATTTACCGCATGTAAATCGGTCAAGTGGTTGCTGAGATATAAGCCTCGCAAAAGCGTCCGCACGGCCGGCCGGCCGGCCGGCCGCTCATACTCAGAAATTTCCGTTAATCTAAGGAAAGACTACGCTCGCTTCGCTCGCTCCGTAATAACATTCAGCTTGACATGCCTTTACCACAACTCAAACTCTATGGCTGTGGCTAAGTATACGAGTTGCCACTGACTTGCACCGGGTCCCATTTACCGGGTGTGCCGATGTACCAGTTACCAGTTACCACTGACCTGCAATGAGTCCCCTTTACCACTGTACCAGTTACCTGTACCGGGTCCCCTTTACCACTGTACCAGTTACCTGCACGGGATCCCCTGTGATGGGATGCGCCACCTCGCGTGCCAGTCGCACCATGTCGATGGCCTGGCTGACGACTCTGGTGGCGTGGTCGGGTACCCTGGTCGGAATACCGCCCACCACCATATAGGCGTCTCCGATCGTCTCCACCTGACGGACAGACGGACAGACGAGACGTAAGACGGGCAGACGAGACGAGACGTAAGACGGATAGACGAGATGGGACGTCAGACGGAAAGAGATGGGACGTAAAACGGTTAGAGATGGAAAGTAAGATCTCGAAGAAGGATAGACGAGGCGGGACGTCAAAAAGAGAGACAACGTCTGTCGGATAAACGAGACGGGACGCAAGACGGATAGACGAGATGAGACGCAAGACGGATAGACGAGATGGAACGTCCGTCGGTTAGACGAGACGAGCGGGACTAAACCTAAGATAAACGGGGTATAGGCATTGGCTACAAGGGACCAATTCCAAAAGATACCAGTAACAGAAGTAGTTTCGGTCAGGTTTATATTCTCAATCCTCGTTATATCATTTGATTATCGTCTGGTTGATATCGTTTATATGGAAATGGCTTACCTTATATACCCGGTTGTTTTCCGTGGCTGCGTCGAATCGGATGTACATTTCGTTGAGTAGCATGACGATTTGGTTCGGTTCACACTTGGATGCTATCACGGTAAATGTGACGATATCGCTGAAAAGTACTGAAACAAGATGGGATGATGTTGCTGAACGATGCGGAACTTCCATTTCATAACAATCTAGATGGAAACGTCGATAAAATATGGAAAATGCGTGTTTTACGAGGATGTCACTACCAAGGGAAAGCAACCGTGAAGTATAATAGACACGCTTCAATAGAGACAACAAAATAAGTTTCCCACCTCCCTGGTATCTAATAGTCCCAAACAATCCTTCCATCTGGCGATATGCCCATGTTTTGTCAGCTAACTGTCATATTTGACTACCAATAATGACGCAACTGGAGGGAAGACGGCTACTACGCTGAACATCAGAACACCCAGAAGAAGAAGAAAAAAATAATGACACTCCCCTGACTCACTGGTTGCACTCTCAAACGCCTCCTGAACATGATCACCGCTCTTCAGCTTGTGCGCCACCTCCGGGGGCAGCATGCTGTGCAGCAGCCTGTCCGTCTTCTCCTTCTCCCGCTCCAGAGCGGCGGCTGTCCGCTTCAGCTCGGCTGTGGTGGCCTCCAGTCGCTGCCTGGAGGTGGAGGGGGGGGGGGGATGGAGGGATATGAGAGGTCACTCATACGTTGGTAATTTTTTACCTACGGTCAATGCAGTCTTCCCTGGCTTTGCAGTATGGTGATTGGTAGGGATGGAATACGCACGATAATGCAGCACCTAATTAAATCAGATGTTTTCAGACATTCATCGGTCCGGGACTAGAATAGAATCCCTCTGCATCGACTACCTATCTTGCAAGTTGGGACGAATTGCACTGATTTACCTACTGACTAAAGACTCGGTTAAAAAAGTCAGCAGCTATAGAAGCACGTTATTATGAAGGCGAGAAGCTGCGTGCAGTGTCTGCTTTGCATGGTCAGCATGGTCCTTGGAGACACTGCAGCACTTTCAAGCTATGGACCAGCAGCCCAGTGAACACCTACATGAGGTCGAACTCTGTGCTTCGCTGGTGTTTGAGCAGAATCAGCTCCCTGGTCGAGTCGGAGCGCGGGATGTCGGAGATCTTTAGAGACCGGTCGGCCAGCTCCTTCAGACTCTTCACCATCGGGTTGCCCAGAAACAGCACCAGCCGCTTCGATAGGAAGATCAGCTCGCCTGCCGGGTCAACAGATGTTTATAGCTATCTGTAGTGACTTTAGGTCAGGGGCAGCGTCAGATGTCTTTACTATTTAGCTACCTCCAGGGACTTTATAGTTACTAGGGACTTTATAAGTGACAGCTCCGGGGAGCGATTGTATGTGATTGAACCACAAACGATAGCTCGGGAAAGCAATTGTCTGTGATTGAGCCGTATTGGAAGCCTTGAAATGTCAACGTAAGGGCACTGAGCGTCGCTGGGTCTGAGGGCGAGGGCAGCTGTGGTTGTCTATTCATGGGTTACGGACTAGTTGTGTTTGGTGTTGACTTGGGTATGAAGAACCGAAAGTCAAGATGGTTGGCCCTGGCTGGCCTAGGTGGCGCCAGCGGCATTCAAGCAAGTAGCGCCAGTACAGAGTCTGGACGATCGTTTTACGTCAGGTTTCAGTCTGTACTGGGACGTCAGGAGTAAACCGATGGAAGTACGAAATAATGAATGAAAGTAACGTAGTTCTTTTTAAAAAATGCAATTAAGGTATGGAACATTATCTAGATTCGATTTTAAGCGTCCCCGAGGTCACAGGTCACATGTCACTTCTAAGCTGACCCCCTGTCCCACAGACCGCACCCCTATACCGCTCTGTCTGCTCTGACCCAGGCCACCTCTATATTAAACCCGCCTCACAGGTCACCTCTCTACCTCTATAGGTCACCCTCTGCTCTGACCCACTTCCAGGTCACTGACCTCTAAGCACTGTACCGACAGTCCGTTCAGTGCCACTGATGACAGCGAACTGGAACACCAGGTTCTTGAACCGCTCGACGTTATCATAGCTGAGTGTGGTGTAGGGCCATACCAGCTCCATCAGGGTCGACACGGCGGGGAACGAGGTGACAGCCGGACACAGGAGACGTAGGCCGAACCCGTACTGCTTGATCGTCAGCTCCCTAGGGCGGTGGAAGACACAGGTCAGTTGATGTAGGGGGCGGACCATTTCATGTGCGTATACAGGGAAAATCGTTTCGCTGGGGAAAGGCCCGGTTACGCAGAGATATGTACTGGAGCAGGTCATTTCACTACGGCAGACTGCATCAGTCATCTTCAGAACATTGCATCGGGGGGCCTTGGCATCGGGTTCGATGTTTTAATTGATATTTCGATATAGCTTTTCGATATTGATGCATTTAAAAGATTCCGGGAGCAGCTTATATAAGTTGATGGTGAGGAGATGGGTCAGGTGAAAAATACTGTTTTGAAAACAGTACAGTAAACAGTAATAGCGAATTAGTTTCACCGTGGCCAAGGTTCACTTATATTGCTTTCTTATGTGCCTACCTAATCGTTGCATGGCAGCCTAGTTACCTATACCTAAGTTCGGCTCATCAGTAATCAAGTTCGGGAAACATGTGTGGATCCCTATCGTTGACCTTTGTAGGTACTTAATTTATCCTGAATACCTATTAGATCGAGGCCGAGCTTCGGAAACACTGCGTTTGGGGATTCTATACCTACTGCTAAGGGGTAGATACCTATGAAGCCAGAAATTTTTAGGCCGTATCTGTGAATAGGGGAACTGTGAAGGTTAAACTATAGCTATATTTTTCGGTTTCATCAATAATCTGGGGAGAATAGTGACTGCAATATTGTTTCATCAAAGGCCAAGTTTTATGGTTGGATCTAAGAACTCTCTGAGCCTCGCCGCAGTGAGTTCAAGTCTAGGAATGCTGACAGACTTGATGGGGCCCAAGTGAGCACGGCTTGTCAGCAGAGAGCAGTGAATCTGCACACCCGATAAGAAAAAAGGTCAAGAGACGTTATCATTCCCAGATCCTTTGACTCTTTCTGCCGCATCCAAACTGACCTTATACCAATGACCATCTTACATAGAAAACAATACACTTATGTTTGATCTAAGAATTGCTGGTTCGACGCTTATCTGTAAGCCTGTGCATCGGGCAGACTATCACAAATGATGGAGCCGGATTCAGATTGTTTTATTTTCGTCATCCGTACCGTACCCCGCGGCTGGACAAGTGCAGATGCGTTCAATCAGCCGCACCATCCCACAGTTCTATCTAGAAAATTATTGCCGCTGATACGGGTTAGGCATTCAATCTCGTATATTAACGTTTGGCGCTTTAAGAACCAAATCCTGTCTCTTTACTTGAACGCTCTCCGACAGTCCACTCCCCAATCAAAACCAATCTGGTGAAGTGCGGTCTTGTGCAATGCCTACTGAGAGCTCCGTGAACATACGCCGCACACAATTTGATCAGACGATATTGGAGCGGCTGACAGACTCCCGGCTGATATTAGATGTTCACTAGCAGTGCCAACAGCGGATGGCTGCAGGCAGGCTCAGCGCCAGAACCAATCAAAAGGCGGACGCGATGCCGAGATATCATAGCCGGTGACGCCCTGAGGCAGGGACCACGGACGCTATAGGGCCACTGAAACCGGAGAATTTGTGGATGATACGAGCTGGATTGTAAATATAGCCGACATTTGACATCCGGGCAAATGCATCTAGCTGATGAGTTGCATAGGTAGTCGGGGGCTGGATGAAATACAAACGGTACAACAATCACACTTAGCTCTTTGACGCACATACCAATATTGTGATTTGATGGCTGCATCGTCATTGGTCATGCCCACTCATAAGCCGATCTAGCTTCCTATAGGTGGGTGGATCTGCCCGTATTCAGTATGCACATTGCACCTTTATCTTCTTTAGAGATTCCCGGCCACGCAGTAATCAAAAGACAAATTTGAAACATTAGATTGCATACCTACGATTACGACATACGATTACGAACCGTGAGGCGGCGACTCACTTATCAAAGATGAAGTGGTAGGGATGGATGGCTGAAAACTCTGCCGTGCTGATGAAGTTGACATTGTCGGGCGCCAGAGAAGCCGCACTGACATCCGTCGGACTGAGGTAGCGCGTCTTCTCTGGGCCGGAGTCGGACGGTAGTGACGGCGACCCGATCCGACCCAGCTGGGTCACCCTGCCGGACAGAGGTCAAAGGTCACAGCAGGTCACTGATGCTACAGTAGGTAATGTTGCGGTCATAGAAGTTACAGAGGTCACAGATGGGTCACAGTCAACGGGCGCCGGCGATTTAGCTCTCTCGGTCGAATTATAGTGGGATTTGGTGCAGTCACACACACTTCACAGAGGTCAGGTTATAGAGGTTACAGCTGGACTCTGGGGCGGTAAACGGTCTCATAGGTCACAGTAGGCCTTCAGCTGGTCATAGAGATCACAGGTGGCACAGACATATTGGATTGTTTATGTGTTATTTCAAACATCCCTTTCTCATATCCCTCTCTCCATTTCCGTCTTCTATTTATCTTCAAACGGACTTAAATCTGTAGTTAACTTTCCCTCTTCCTGTTTCTCCCCATACCCCTCTCTCTCTCCCATCTCCTTCCTCCTTCCCCCACTGACTTGAATCGGACGTGATGTACCACATCGGACTCGTTGATCTTCTCCTGGGTCTTGAAAACCACCTCGAACCTTGTAGCAAGGTTGTAGAAATTCCTGGCGCAGCCTCGTAACGCCCCTGGAACGAAACAAGCCATGTATTTATGAAAATACCTTGATCACTGTGTTTAAACAGAACTACATTTAGTCATCTGACAGAACTGTATAAGGACAGAAATTCCCATTTCTGTCCTTATTTCTGTTTAAATGCCATGTATGTAAAATCATATTGTATGCTGTATTCGGCTTGCGAGTGGCGTGAGAGGTCTGATCTAGTCGTGTTAGGTATAATCTTTCTTGTTAGTCTTTCGTCTCGTTAGTCTGGTCGAATGTATAATCTCCATGTCCCGCGAGGCAGTAAAATCCTTTATAAAACAAAACGTCCGTATGTATGTATGTATGTATGTATGTATGTATGTGACGCGTCCGTCACGCTTGGCGGGATATTGCTGTGGAACTGTGCGGGCCAAGATTACTGTGCGGGCTACGGGGGTGGAATTTTGGGCGCAAGTCGGACGCGTGCATCTGTTTGTTGCATTAAATTTTGGAGGGGGTGCGTGCAGTGGTGTGCACGTGGCGGGCGCATCTTTGCGGGATTTTGGGCCGCGACCGGCGCCGAGCAGTGAGCACGCGTTAGGCTCAGTTTCTTCGCTTGCAAAACTGAGCGAAATCAGAGCCGGAAGGTCACTGACCTTTGGCAATGAATACCGGAACAGAGCACCGCCGGCCAGAAGGAGACGCCAAATTTATTCTGGCAATAACTCGGCCGCTACTGGGCCGATTTTAATGAAAATTGATTTATTACGCTGCGCGTAATGCTGTCCCTCTAGTCCTTTATAAAATCTGTGGCGGTTCCGTCCATTTCTGACAACCCGAGCCACCTCGCGTCCGTAGCTCCATCCTAACCGAGCGGGAGCCGGGCGGATCCCTTTGACATTTCGAGAGTTTTAATGATGCTGCAGACCGCAGCCAGAAGAGAAGAGAGAAAAACAGACAGAGATGAGGTATCTTTTATTCACGATGAAATCGCTGGACTGAAACAGTCATTTGTGTGTCATTTACGAAAATGCCGTGTCCGCTTTCAACGGAAAGAGATGAAGATTATTATATAATGCCTACCGGTACGGATGAAAGTGAACGTGTTCTAAGGTTTTATTGGTATCCATTGCTTTGATCGTTTCCTTTCAAGACCTTAGCTTTTTTACGCTATTTACCGATGTGCGGCAGCGGCTTACTTATACTTCAATAATTCGACTTCCAATACTGGTGCTGACATGGACGATATATCACTCTTCTCACTTCAGCGCTGCTAGTTGTCCAAGTACAAAATGATGAAATATATATGTCGGCTCGCACCTATTGAGATCCAAAGACTGACGCTATTGATTGTGTCTTGTCCAACTGCTGATTGCCTTTTCAGGAATCGCTATAAAATGACTATATCGAACAGCCAATTTAGCTGAATTGTATCATTGCTGTATCACATGTATCATTCACGCATCATTTGTCCTTTGTATCACTCTTGTATCATTTGAATTATTTCCGTATCAGTTCTGGTCTCGCCGGACCCAGCGTTCCGTGCTAAATTCCCGACTTGCCGGCCCGTTTCCCCAATTGCCGTCCGCGGGTTTCCTCGATTGCCGGCCGGTTTCCGGAGTCGGCGGGTGGTTTCCAGCTCGTTTGAGCTCCATCGCTGCCTCGTTAGACGCTGATCAGCTGTGATTGGTTTTACCCGTGACGGACGGACGGGAGGGGGAGGGGAGGGAGGGTGGGACGCACCGTCAGCGGCCGCCGCCGCCCCCCCCCCCCCTGGACTCAGCAGAGTCGCCGGGCGGGAGCGGGCCGGTCAGAGCAGGTCGGGGCTGAGGGGAATAGAGGATAGAGACATGGGATGGGGGAGAGAGGCACAGAGTGGGCAGGGCTGACCCTTTGAGCGCGATCTCATGAGCTCATGATGACGGCTACTGTCTTAGATGACGTATATTCATTGACAAGTCTATTGACAAGTCGGCAATTGACCTATGCGGCAAGGGTTCGCACATTTGCCGCATATATGTTTGTTCAGTCTTCAATGAATTTCACTTCCCGATCATAAACTTGAAAACTTCCACTATAATAACCGCTTCAAACGGCATCCATACGCTCCCCAATTGCTGGGAGGCAGACCGCAACATTGGCGGAACCGGGAACACCTCTAACAGCTTCTGGCTGCCTCATCAGTGACGGCTCATCAGCCTTTGTTAGCGCTCGGTTTCCTCATCCCCCCCCCCCCCTCCTCCCCCTGGTGGAGCGTCGGCGGCGCCTGCAGGCACCCAAATATCCGATTGCCAACAAGCTTGTTAGCCCTAGTTTACCGTGGCCCTGCCCATAGCAGACACGGGAGACGTGAAAAATAATATAAGAAAAATGTAGCAGTGGTTCTTATTCAACAGAGAAAAATACACCGGGTCAGTGCTGGCGGGCCATGTGATAGTCGATTTGATGCCTGATGGTGTATGAGACGTTATGAACAGTGACAGACATCCATACATATATCATAGGAGAAAGGAAAGAACATATGAATGAATACCTAGAAAGAAGGAGACGCACCGTTGAGCGCAATTTTAATGGCATGCCGTGCTTTAAAATACGCAAGGCTGTCTTCGAAGTTCGACGTGCGAAAAACCGTCTCGGAATCGGCGCATGAAAGCAAGAGTCATTTATTTTTCAAATTCATTGTTGTTAATTTGCAAAGTATGAGCTGTCTTTCCTAATTAACCCAGGTCTAACTATTTAGGCTACCATCATCATACCATCATCCCCCTACTTTTCCTCATTAGTTCACCGTCAATCTGGAGTGACAGATGACAAGTGACATCTCCTCATCCACACCATTATCGAGCTCAACAGACGGCCAGCGGACTCTATCGCCAATCCCAACTTCGTGCCGGCGCAGCAACTGTCGCAAACTCGCCGTCCTCATTAACATCCGCCTGCGCCGAATTTGAATACAACAGCCGGCTCGGATGACTTCTGGAGGACCCCGACTGGTCCACTGTCGTCGGTAGAGTGAAAAGCGGCGGTAACAATATGAGATTCGCCGGCGTTGGAACAGGGGAGAGTGTTTTGAACTACATACATAGTCTGCCGATGGTGACATATAATAAATAGGTGGTCTGTGTTCCTGGTAGAGGAGATCGTCCGAGATCGAAGTGTGTTAACTGTTAGGTACAGGTGCAAGAGGAGAATTTTTAGAGAGAGAGAGAGAGAGAGAGAGAGAGAGAGAGAGAGAGAGAGAGAGAGAGAGAGAGAGAGAGAGAGAGAGAGAGAGAGAGAGAGAGAGAGAGAGAGAGATAGAGAGAGAGAGAGAGAGAGAGGGAGAGAGAGAGAGAGAGGAGAGAAAGAGAGGAGTGGAAAGGAAAGGAGAGCAGAGTAGAGTTGAATGAAAAGAGAGCAAGTCGATGGAGTGTTGTTTTTCGTGGGTTATGTACCTATATCCTTTCTGTTCTGTTTCTGTTTTGACAATATCAGAGTCGTAGGTTGAGAGTTAGAGGATAGTGTGAAGACATTGGACAAATTTGACACGGGCCGGTGCGTCGCAGCAGATCCCATTGGGACGAAGGCAGCTGGAACAGGCAGCTGTAAACTATCCGGTAAACGGTCACCCGGAAGGCGTGTGGCCTTGAGGGTATTGCTCCAAGTGGTTAATCACTGCTCTCCCCGGCTTGGATGACCGTCAGCATGGACCAGAGAAGATATAATCAATAATCGAGGATGGGTTGCTTCTGATGATAAATATAACCCGATGATCGTCTGAATCGACCCAAACTGGGCGGCGTTTGGCAGCCCGTCTCCGCCCGATGGCGGCGCTGATGACGCCGCTGATGACGCCGTTGATGACGTCTGATGACGCCGCTGATGGCTGCGCCGTTTATCGTCGCGCCCGACGCGGCTGCGGCGCACCATCAGGGTAGATAGCCGGGTCGTTAATCTCCGCGGGATCCATCGTTAATCCATGCTCGTTAATCCGTGCCGAGTGGGCATAGCCCACAATGGTGATAGTGTGGGTCATGATCGTCGGCATCCGTGTGCCAGACAAATACAGCACTATTTGCAGATTTTGTTGATTTACCGTTGTGTACACAATCTGGGAATGATGGCATAATATTGCGGAACAAATGAGATATGGGTCTTCATTGCGTCGTCTGCCCGATCCACACAAACATCATGTAATAGGTGTTAGAACTTGGTGAGAACAGTGTAGGTATATGGGTATTATCTCTAAAGAATGAATTGAAGAGAAGAGGATAAAGAAAATGTGATAGACAGAAAGTCACTAAAGAAACGACTTATCTTTCTCCGGTCGTTTATCTTTTCTTCGCTCCTTCTAAAAGTAAGACGATGAAGCAACGGGGAAAGCGACATTTAGCTTATTCGCCGGAAAGTAAAAAAGAGACATGCCTTTGCCTATGTGAAACTACTACCCATGAGGCCCTACTACCTTCGACTGCAGAGATGGCCCACATGCGGTATACCGCATATATGTAGAAGTCGGTATGCATGGAAGGCATGAGAGGCAGGTGCACGGACAAGTTGGTATATACATACCTAAGTAACACATATATTGCACTTGCTCGACGGCAATTTTCCTGTTGCTTGAGACCTGAGATACCTACCCAAGTAGCTACGTATAGAATAAATGAAGACTGCTATTTGAGCGGGGATTCCGCATCATGTCTGCGCCTGGCTTCATAACAGCGCTCTACATAAAGAACACGTCACATATAATAAAATAGGTTTTGCTTATTGCGTGCTGAGTCATCACATCTTGCATCATAGTTCACTCCTAACCAGATACAGAAGCGACCATAAACTTGAGCGAACGATCTGCCACAGAGATAGCAATGCTCTTTCATACATGTGGCTGGCAGTAGCGATGTTTCATATAGCGCCTGACAGTGCTCTCAGAGTCCGTGAATGTTTAATCGGTGACCATCCAGCATGGCGCCATCGCTTGCAGATCAATATGCCCTGAAGCTCGAAAATAGAAATAAGCTTGCTCTCATGTTATATCAAAAGATATTTTTGAATAAAAAATAAGAACAAGTTTGTATCGAGA